TCTTGCCTCTATTTATTTGTCTATGAGGAGACACATGTCCTCCACAATGTGGGGTCAGGAAGATTAGTCGTTTAGCCAGATCCTGCACAAGTTTATCAATGTAGGTCATGAAGGGAATACAAATAACCGTACCACCGCTGTAGACCTTGCCGAACATGATGACTTGTAACTTATCGTAGAGCGACAAGACACCAGCGCCAGCAACACCACGGAGAATGTTGGCACCAGCACCCTTGAACAATGACTTGACACCTTCCTTGGCAATGATTTGTGAACCGGCATCAAACATGGACTTGTAGTGGACACCACCACCCGATGTCATCATCATACGACGACTATCGAAGCAGTTAGTCAACGTCAAAAATAAGGATGATGGTAACGAACCGGATAGTGTCAAGAGGATATGAAGCAAGACCAGCACCAATAGTAACACCCCATCCGAGCATGAAGGAAGCAAAGAAGCTACCCTGGAGAGCACCGACGAGCACAACGGGTTCTAGACATAAATGAGCATCAAGTCAAGAGCTGCTTAATTTTCGACATACTGAGAGAGTCGTAGACACCAAAGCTAGATAAAATGGTCAACTTTGATATCAGCTGATGTAAAGGAATACGACATACTAGAGACCACGGTAGACGATAATACCAACGACGGAGGGAACGAATCCTCGGTAAAGACCGGCAATACCGTCCGACTTGAGGGTCTTCCTGTAAACATCGACGAGACCATTGAATTGACGCTCTCCTCCACCCTTGGCGGATTTGGCGTCGTTGGCAAGACGGGTACGAGCATAGTCGAGGGAGTACACGAAGAGCAAGGACGAAGCACCAGCAGCACCACCAGAAGCAACGTTACCAGCGAACCACTTCCAGTAACCGTCGTCCTTCTTGAAGCCGAAGAGGGACTTGAAGTAATCCTCTGTAGAGATTTATAGCGTGAGATACCATTATCATACTTGAGAGAAGAGAAATAGTACTGACTGAAGGCAAAGTTGAGGGCCTGGGTAGGGAAGTAACGAATGACGTTGGCGGTGTTGCCTCTCCAGAGGGAGACGAGACCTTCATCGCGATATGTGCGGCTGAAGCAGTCCACGATGCCGTTGTATTTGTGGCTCAAGCGACCTTGTTTAATCTGGCAGAATGGGACTCAGCGGGCCGGCTCGTGATATCGACTAAAAGGAAGTTTTCTTACCATTTCATCCTATAAAGGTCGGAAGCAGGAAAGAAGAGGTTAGCAAACATATGTGAATGCTTCTTTTATTTCTAACCTGGTTTTGGATGAGGAGCTGAGAGGCGGTCAGTGTTTAGCTCATGCCAGCTCGACGGACGACAAACCTTGATACGCTCGATGGGAGCAGCAGAAGTCTTTGCAACGGCCTGGAAAGAGTTTTTAACACATGTTGGATGCAAAAAGGATCGATGCGTACAGCAGAGACACCACCCATCATGAAGTCGACTACGAGAAAAAAGTTGTTGAGACAAAAAACTCTTGAAAACGAGAAAGAAACATCACTGACTGGCAAACTCCTTTGGAGTTTTGACCTTCTTGACGTTCTTTGCGTCAGACATTTTGTTTTTAGGGGGATTTTAGGAAGAGTGGGGATAGGGCCGGGTCTACGTTGAGGACTCGCTATTTATCGAAAAAAAATCGACGTTCCGCTCAACCGCTTGCTTTGTCCCTGAGGCGGTACTCTCGCAATTCCCTTTTCCTCATGGCCTGTTCCAAAAAAGATTTCTTTCACACTCAGGAGGATCCGGCTAAACGACTAATCTTCCTGACCCCACATTGTGGAGGACATGTGTCTCCTCATAGACAAATAAATAGAGGCAAGA